AGCATTTAATGCTGAAGAAGAACTCCATCCCCCGCCCCCGCCCCCCACTCAACTTTACATGCATATCCTGAACATTAACTATTGCATACTGGAAGAACATTTTTTTACAGTACTATAGCAATCCAAGGGGTTTTGATTAAGGGTTAAGTAGAATGACCTAAAGAATAGATACATGGTAAAGCTGATGTTGTCCATTAAGTCTGTTTTTTCACACTGGAGTTTCAGATTGCAACCTTAGTGAGGTATATGTCAGTAACTACACTAAAGACAGTCCACTTAATATTTGTTTAAATGTATAGTAGAATTTTGTAGAAAAGCAAAGGTTTTCCAATTTATTTATTAGGGAAACTGCAGAACTTAACACAAGGCTACATGTGGACCATTTCTTTAAAATGTACTCTGGACATTTTCATTCTACAGCCAGCTAGTGTTGGCTTAGAAATAGCATTTAAAGGCTTATTTTTGGGGAATTGGCTTATAGGTATAGACATATGTATTTATAAGATGTCAAGATGGGTAGCAGAGGTTAACTGATTTCTAAGAAGCTTGAGTCTCACACACAAAGTTTCTTATGGCCCTGGAGGTGGACAGGCTGTCCAACACAACAAGGCCAACAATGCTGGGAACCGAGGAAGTATGTACCATACTGCCCATAACACGAGATAAAGTGACACCAGCTACTAGGCCCCAGAGCAGACGGGGGTGGGGAACAGATTAGGAGATGACTCGGAAGGCTATGTGGACATGTGACCACAGGGAGACAGCCAGCCAGAGATGGCCACGGATGAAGAGTCATTAGGAGTCATCAAGAGAGAAGGAGAATACTAAAGCAGAGACTTGAGAGTAACAAAGCATCCCTCCTTCTCTTCCCTTCCATCCCTCTCTGTTGTTTCTCAACCCTTCCTTTGTCCTGTTCCTCCCCATCTTTTCTCCTCCTCCCCGAGAGGGGACCCATCCCTGTCCCCTGGGAAGGGTCCCCAAGGCCACCATGGGGGGCATATGACCAGCCCGTCTCATACACCCCACTGGAAGCGATATATAGAATTGCTTGATTGTTTGTATTGCTTCTTTTCTGTTATCACTGTGTATCAATACATTTGCCTATTATCAAATGGAGAGGTTGTGGTCAGTCTGAGAGTGTCCCCACCCCCCAGAACAAGGTCTCCGGGTCATAAATCCAGAGCCAACAGCTAGAAGTCACTGTTTAAAACACAGTGGCTTGTCTATGGGCTTCCAATACATTAGGCTTTGATATACTCCTTAATTATTTCTTAACTATCATGATTTATGCATTTTAATGTTATGCTGTAACTGACAGAATGACATCTTTCCACAAAAACAGAAAGACTCATCAATAACTTGAGCTGTAATAAAGACAACGTTTAATGTTGTGTAAGATTATGTGCATGTCTAAGGCAATGAAGTGATGCTGCCAAATCTCTTCTGCTTGAGGTCGGTTCCAGTTGTGTATTTGTATACTTTCATTGTCTCATTGCATATGCATACTTATGCATACTTCTCTCAGGGAGATCAGAATAAGGCCCAGACTTTCTGTAACATCACACATTGTATGAAACCTGTTCTGACAGATGCCCTTAGAATGAACTGGAGAACATACTTCATTTGAATTTTATGCCCCTAATGTTCAATATTTCATTACTTTTCCCCTTCCTCTTTCGTATTTTTTACTCCTTTAATGAAATGTGAGAGAGCATTTCCAAATCTGTCTTAGTAAAGACTATGTAGCCTAATGAACAACATGGCTGCATGATATTCAAAGACATTAATTTCAAACCCTGTTACAACTGCACTTCTACAAAACCTGATTTACACTGGAGTTTTTTTCCAAGTAGTGACTGAATAAGAATTGAGGAAATCCATTCAACACAAAGCCAGATTCCCTAAAAGTCTCACAATGGGAAAACGACAATTGTCAATTGACTCTCTGACCCACTGTAATATTGACTCTCTGCCTTTCCCAATTGACAGGAAGATGAAACGGACATATAACCAGGAAAAAATATTTGAAAGTTTTGTAGATAATTTTTTCTTCCTCTTTTTTAGACATTTTTCTCTATTTCTTCCTCTCAGATTCCAAACAGAAAGCCAGAACATGTCAGGGTGTTCCATTCTAGTCTTGTTCAAAATATCTCTGTTTTCATGCCAGAATCTTTACCTGTAAAATTTCATTTATGAACAAAAAACTTACATTTGTCTGAAAAGCATTCTATGTTTACTCTAATTAAACGAGTATGCGATTGCTTAAAATGAGAAAAAACAACTACAAAGAAAAATCCCAATCCAAATGTAACACCAGAATTGCTTTCACTAAATGGAATTGTACAAACACCCACATCCTATTTCTTTGTAGTTTAGTAGAAAGCTCAGAAGTTGTAGGTCATTTCATTTCTTAAGAAGCGATGAGTGAGTTCTTCTGGAGGTGAGTTGGCATGGTCATTCTACCACTTCAGTCTTTCTAAGGTAAAAGTACCATATTTTGAATCCATTTCTTAAAATAGATGTTTATAATGTGGAGAGTAAAGACAGACATACAATTACAAATCACTCCAGAAAGTAATAAAAAGGGGAATCAAGGGACTTAATCCACTTCAATTGAAATTAATGAAAAAATTCTTACTGATTTCATTCATGAAAGAATCCCCCCTTTAGTAGGCTCAATTTTGTATAAACCTAAATTAAAAAGATGACCTTGCAGCTTTTATCTCAGCTTTGAGTTAGAAGACTTGTTTCAATAAAAATAATTGCTAATGAATTCTAAATGGTATTCAGTACCCAAATGACTCCAATGGCACCTTATAGTGCCATTAGATTTTTCTTCTGATTTCAGATTAATGTCAGCAGTGCAATAAAACGTCTTTGTGGAATTTGCTCACTGAAAGGAAACCTGCATATACCACAAAACCACCTTGCCTGAGAAGGGTTTAGAAGCATAGGAAGACAAAGGTCCCCCTGGGAGGAAAAATTCCCTCCAGCTATAAGATGACTGATACAGAGGAAGAGGCTTTTGGAAGGGTCACCAAAGTCATGCTTACATGGAAAAATCTCATGCAGTGGAGGAATGGAAGAAGGACAATTTTTCTGCTTCCCTCTGGTACCTTCTGCTGGGATTGCAGTTGTGGAAATCAAAAGTTATGTTGTGGAAATCAACAACAAGACAAAGGTATGTTTTAACCACTTTAAAAGGGGCAGGGAAAGATCATGTTTAGGACTGTAAAGCAGCTAATACAATGTGTTGCTTAAGTTAGCTTAACAAAGTGGGGTTACTTAGAGAAGCCGGTAGAATCATGCAGTTGTAACAGTTGCACATGAACAGCTTTTATCAATGTCAAGGAATATTGATAGACAAGGTTCCTTGGGTGAATTTGATATCTTTTATTAGATCAACCCAATTGGTTGGAGAATAGTTATTAAGCAAGCTTTCGGGTTCAAAAACCGGAAGCTTCAGCAGTTGGTGTGTGCTCTTCCTGGATAGAATATTGATGCAATTCTTAAGTGTACCCATATCCTTAGATATTATCAGATAGCTATATAAAGCATAAAAATACTGAAGTTTTATGAAACATGATAGAATTTCATTTTGAACAAATACATATTAACTTCTTTCAGCTCTTCAAATGACTAAAGGTACTTTAGGAGTGAAATTTGCTATACATATTGTGCACATATTTAATTAACACAGCCTCAAAGCAATTTGGAAAATTACACATATATTTCCATCCACTTTACATAAGAGCTGTCCTTTATTTCTAATAATAATTATTTAGTATGAACATGACTATACATTTAGATAACTGAGTATGGGCATTATGCTTACTTATCTTTGCATGTAACTTTACACAAACTGATCCAGTATCAACTTTATTAAAGTAATTGATGCAGTCAGTATACATAGCTCAGGGCTGTCCAACTTCTGAATGGCTTAGGATCACAGGTCCCCCTGGCTGCAGGATGTATTGAATGGCATGACAACACAGCATAGACCTGCCACTGTGTTGTACCACGTGGGTGCTCCCATGCCATGTGGGGTCCTCATAGCTCCTGGGCTTGCTGGACCTTGTGGGCTGCACTGCTCTGCCCTTACCCCACAGGTGAGGTCAGGAAGCAGAAGTGGGAGGAGGAAGGAGGGGAGTGGCACCCAGATCAGGATCCCAGGGCCTGAGAGTTAACCCCTCATGCCAGTTGGACAGCCCTAACTAATCTAGGTATTGAATATTAAATGCTGTAAGCATTGCTCCGTATGATTGATACAAATCTAACTGTAGTTGGCAGAGAAAGCAGTATTGTTAGCTTGAAATGTGCTCATCTGTACATTGACTAGAATTAAAGACCAGGCAAGCAGCATGTATGGTCTAAAAGACAGAACACTAAAGTCAGGAAACCAGTTGCATACATGACTCCTTACTTCATCTCTTTTCCCCTTTCTTCTTTCTCCATTTAGATTGTAAGCTCTCCAGGACAGGAACTGTTTCTTACTATATTTGTGCACTGCTTATAGCACAGTGATCTCTAAACCTCAGCTGAGCCTTGCAGGAGTTTGCCTTACAAATAATGCTATATAGTGCCTGGGAATAAAATTCCAGTAAATTACCCAAAAAATGACAACTAGACATATGGCCTGCTAAATAGTAAATAATGTTTCATTTATTTCCACATTTAAAGCAAATTAGAACATCATGACTTTCAAATTATCCTACAAATTCATCACAAAACCAATCTCTGCAAGTTACTTTCCCTTTTTTTAACTTTAGTTTTCACACTAGATTCGATGTTCCATAATCTTCTTTTGCAGCCTATCCCTCTTTAAGCCATGTTTCTGTAATAACCTTTCACACTCAAATGAAATGTATTCTAGGCTCATGGTCTTAGAACTGCAAACTTTTTGCAGCATAAGACTACATAGGTGTGCTACAATGAGGCCACATTCTCAAGCCTGGATGCCATACCATACATAATAAACAGTGATAATAAAAAACACTTACCTTTACAAACAAAGCATTTTATATGAAAATATTTGTTTTGAACTCTCAACACTTCTCCTTTACATGGGTTCCCACAGTTATTGCAGAGAATTGCAGTACTTGATGGCTTTTCCAGCTGGCTATGAACAGCCTGTGGTTGAGAAACTGTAAGAAAACACAAGATGCATAAGAATATGAGGTCCCTTCATAACATCTGGTGGAGAAACTAGATAAAAGTGTTCCTATTATAGTAACAAATAGTAAAAATTGGCATTTGCAGCAAAATGTGATGCATATGACATACAGGCCAAATTGCTTTCACTATCTAGTGAGATTACTCTTGGTACATCCATGCTTCAAATGTATTTTTCAGATGCACTGCAAACTCATAGACATCTCCATATTAGGTATGGGTCTTGTTTTGTTTTGTTTTTGCAAAATAAGAACGAGAAGTTTTTTCATTTAAAATCTGAGAACCTGAAGAGCAATCAATAGAGTTTTGACCCCACCTAGCCCTCTGCTTAATTGAGTCCCACATTTATGTACTGTACATGGCAGGAAGCCTGGACATTTTTGGTAACTTACAGGCATTAAATGCTATAACAATACTTCAGTGTTGTGGTACATTCACATAGAACTTTGCTAAGTCATCATGCATTTCCCTCTATGCATGTCAAAACACCAAGACAGGGATTCATTCCAAATGATTCAATTAAATTATATTAATACAGTAGCTAGAGAAAAATGACTATGAAAATTATGTGGACAGAATTCTATCCTCACACCCAGAGCAGATGCTCTCAACTTAACAAGTCTATGATGACTTCTGATAGTTTTTAAATTCAGATTGTAGGGATGTGAAAAATCACAATGGGATTTGTCTCTTTCCTTGTCACTCATGACAAGGAGTCAACTACTTTGGTAGTAATGTGGTGAAATGTGAGGCACAACAGGATTCAGCCAGCTTTCCCAAAGCTGCATGGCTCTGTGATATCAATAGCCAGAAAACGGTATAGTCAGTGAGATTATCAGATAAGACACAAGGATGTGTTCTGCTCAGCTGGAACACGGTTTTGTGAAGTGCTTAGTGCTTCCAATTCCAAGCACCATTTAGGACAGGTTTGTTTTTTTTTAAATTTTTTTATTACAAACCCACTTGGATAATAATAGCCACGTATGGCAAATTTGCTGCAATCAAGACTACAGGTAATATTTTCAAAAGTGCCCACGTGCGTTAGGAGCAGATGAACATGTCTATACTATGCCCCTGCAAGAGTAGGGACTGCCACTGACAATTCAGCTTAGCCTTCTACCACTACTCTGAGCACAAACAGAATAGATGGCTTAAGACAGGGGTGCTCTGCCCCAGCCCACTCACTTGCCCAGTGCTGTGTCGTCCAGCTCACAGAGCTCCTCACGGATTTGTGGGGAGCCCCATGGGCCTGCACACTAGATTCGACATGCAGGACAGTGAGAGACCTGACCCGGTGCAGTGAGCCAGGCAGTGGCAGCACAGGGTCCTGGCACTCAATCCTGGCCAGGCTGAGTCAGGGCAGCATCCTGGATCCGAATACCAGCCAGGCAGAGGCAATGTGGGGACCCTGAAGTCTGATCTCAGCATTCAGGGGCAGTGCAAGGTCTGATCCAGCCCATAGTCCAGCACTACACCATTCACTTGGCCTGTTAGGCCAAACTGTGAACACCACTAGCTTAAGAGATCCCTAAGCGTGCCCCAGAGTAAACATGAAGCTGTCTCAGAAGCAGTTGAGAGTTGTGCAACAGCTAATGAATGCTCAAAGTGTCTGTTCTACCTAACAAGCAGGTTTGGTCAAGCACTGACTAACACTAAGTGGGACGGGCTTGCTTCTCAGTGATGGTATCAGTCTTGGTAGGAAGTTGGTATCAATGTGCCCAAAGTCTCAAATTCAGAAAGGAATGAGGCACTTGGTAGCCCAAGTCTCACTTTAAAAAAATCAAAAAACAATCAGTAAGACTTTGGTTTCCAAGGATCCCAGTTATTTAAAAAAATCATATGAAGTTGAAAAAAATATTGTATCACCTAGCTTGAGCAACAGGTGAACAGTCACCCCCTATGCAAAGATATTATCCAGATAAAAACCATATGTATTACGCAAGAATTCTATCCTTACTAATTCACATCCAGGGCACAACTCATCTATACAATGTTATCTAGATAAAAGCATACATACATACACACACATTACATGCATTCACAAATGTGCACAAACACATTGTGTGTGTGTGTTCTTTTATTTGAATACTATATCTCTAGAAAAGAACTGATTCTACACTTATTAAAGTTTCTATTTAATGTATCAGGGCCATAAAGCTCTACTAACATTCATCTTACAGTACAGACACAAGCAATTCACACAATCAGCCTAGCTACAGGCACATATGTGGGATGCTTTCCAACACTTCTTGAAATCAAGGGCACAGGTAAAATGATACGAGTGGAACAGGTCCCAAGAATCATCTGCTCCAGCTAAAGATATTATTCAAGGAGAGATTATGAAGGCTACTCTAGTGCTCCAAAGTTCAGAAGTTAGCTCCCTAGCTCTGTAAACCAGGGGTCAAGAGTATGAAACTCACTGAAACCCTATTCTGATTTTGGAGCCCAGGTAGCTCATTTTGTACCATATTAGACTTTTGTTGCAATGGTCCAGGGTTCAAGTCCTTGTTCAGTCAGCAGCTATTCTGTGTTGCATGGAAGCAGGTGACCGGCAGAGGCCAGGCCAGCTGCCAAGGCCTGTTTTTGTGGATGTGACATACATGGGTTTCAGCAAGATTTTAACACCATCTCCCACAACATTCTCATTGATATGCTAAAGAAATATAGACTAGATCAGGGGAGAGCATTTATTTCAGGTGGAGGGCTGCTTAAGTTTTGGTGAGCCACCTGGGGCCACATCAGTAGCCCTGCCCCTTGACAGTTTCCCCACCCCCTGGTCACCACATTGGGATCAGAAGTCCTGCCCCCTAACCCCTGGCCTTTGCCATCAGAAGTCCTTCCCCTTGCTGCCTCTGCCCCCCCAAATACCAGGAGAAACGTTCTGATTATGAGGATGGTCAAACACTGGAACAGGCTTAAGAGAAAGTGTAGAATCTTCATCCTTGTAACCTTTCAAAAGCAAGTTAGACAGACACTTGGCTCGCATGGTTTAGTCGGGGATGGTCCTGCCTTGAGCAGGGGCTGGACTAGATGACCTCATGACGCCTCTTCCAGCCCAACCTTCCTATGATCTTTTTTCCTACACATGGAGGACAAGAGAGAAACACATGAAGAAAAAGGAACCGGTACTTTTGTTTCTGACATCTAAGAAAAGTAAAAGATAAGAAAAGTACTAAGAAAAGTAAAGGATATTTGGCAAATATCCTGCCAGATATTTAGTAAATATAGCTTACAAGTAAGTAAGAAGTGACAAAGAGATTGAATGTCTCTGTACTGAAATCTCACAGAATCTAATGAGTTGTTATCGTACTTTACACATTCATAACTCAGCAAAATGCCATATATAGACTCATGTTTAACGTAAAAAAAGATCCTGTAATTCTAACTCCCTGCATACATGCCAAATATCTGGCCAGATATTTGGCAAATATGACATACAAGTAAGTGAAATGAAAAGAAAAGAACTTGGGTTAGCTGATATGAACCTTGAACCCTAGCCACAGTTAACTTAAACACAGATACTTGGACACTATTGACAAAGCACAAACATACTTAAGCAGTTGCTTTACATGAGCATCCTATGCACACTACCCTCAAATATACTGGCTATAAGTCGTCTTTACCTTTAGTAAGAGAATGCCTTCCTACACTAAAGTCAGCTGTCTAACACCGTGATCCACATCTGGGACTGCACCCTACTATCTACCATGTAAAACAAAGTAAGGACCCACCATGCTTGTGTCCACAAGACCAGCAATCATTTCAAGTTAACCAAAAAGTTGTAATCTATGGTCAGGCCCACAGATACCAACTCTTCTCTGTGGGGAACATTTGTGATACTTACCGGGAAAGCCTAAAATCTCCCTTTATATAACAAGGACACTCCAGTAGAGAAATAGACTGTATCTTTGAAAAAGCCACCCAAATACCCAACAGTAATTTGATACAATACAAAAAGAAACCTCCCTACCAAGCTACACTGGAACCAATTAGAAGCATCATCAAAACTACAGCCTATACACCACAAAGATCAGACCTTAGAAGAAACATTCCCAGCCCTGCATCTCCTGCTTTCAAACAAGTCCCTAACCTTGCTCAGCTCATCATCAGAAATGAAGTCCCTGTTGCTCAAATGACATCAAATGGGACACACTCTTGCTTTAACAGTAGATGCATAACTTGTTAACGCATCTCCATTGCTATTACAATCAGCATTCCCCACAATGAACCCATCAGAATCCACACATTCTACACATACTTTTCCTAAAATGTGATCTATCTGACCCAATGTACCAAAAACCTTCATGATAACTATCACTATCATAACCTTCGTGATAACCCATGATAACGTGGGTGAAACTAAACAGCAAACTCTGCACCAGAATGTAGTCTCAGAAAAAAATAAAGGACTATCCACCGCCCGGGGTGTTGGCATGGTGTACCCACATTTCAGGACTTCTTCCCACTAGACTCCTTGAGTGTTCGGAGTGGGGGGTGCTTTAATTAGAGTGGCTCCAAGAGCTGCTCTAAATAAAAGCGTCCACAGCATTTCATGTATCAGCATCCCCACACTTCAAAATGGTGTTGGGGGTGCTTTAAATAAAGCTTGCTCAATGGACTTTAGTTAAAGTGCCCCCACTGTCATTTTGAAGCACAGGGATGCTCATACATGAGACGCAGAGGCTGCGACAGCATGCTAATTAGCATGCTCCAGCAGACTCGATTAATCAAGTCTGCTCCAATGCACTGTAATTACAGTGCATCGGAGCAGCTACCCCACACTTGTACAGGCACCCCTCATTCCTTCTGGCTCTTCCTTCCTTGTCTGTACTCTTACCTGCCATGACTTGATGGAAGTAGTATATAGGGAAAGGCCTCTCGTAGGCAGAAGACTCTTGGACTTTAGGTCTGTGTCTGGGCTGGGGCCCTCCTGGCCTTGGCCCAATTAGGCTCTAGCTGTACCTACTGACTCAGAGCTCACTCTTCAGGGCCACAAGCTTTAGATGCAGTGGGTGCATCACAGGCCTGCCGGCCTGCCACCACATTTAATACCATTGCCTTTCAGTCCTGGCTGACTTCTCCTTACTGGACCCAGAGCTAACTGCCCAGTCTCTTGTCTTCTGCCTTCCCAATTGCATAAGAGGTCTGGGGTACAACACAAGCACCTCTTTTCCATGGTCTCCACCTTCCCTATAGCCACAGACCATGGGGACAAGGATCACCCACATTCCTGGGTGTCAACTTGACTCAAAAGAAAAAAAAATGATCTGCCTCGGGTTTGTCTTGCCCTGGGGCAGCACTCTTCAAGCCAAAACCAAAAGAATAAACAAGTTCCAGAACTTATCTGGCTCCTAACATGATGCTGCCCGTCTTCTCCACCCAGCTGTCATCTGGAGCCATTTCTCCCTGGCTCTGAGTTCAGTTCCTCTGCCCCTCTGCAGATAGCTCCTTCCCCTGGGACTCCTGCTACCAGACTGACTCTGGCCTGAGGCTTGAGTTTATAAAGGGTGATGCAGGTCACCTGACTCTTCTACCTCCACTCCTGGGACATCAGGGGCTGACTGCACTTGATCCTGGCAGCCGTTTTGTTTCAAAATCCTCAGCTTGCTAGTGGGCTGCAGCAGCACCCAGCAAATGTGAGTAACAGTGACCAAATAATGCAGTGGGGAAAGGGCAGAGGTAAAGAGAGAGACTGAGAACAAGAAGGCAAAAAGGGCAGGGGAAGCACTACACCTAAGGGAGCCATGGGGACATCCCAAAGGGATAGGATGACCCGGCAGATCCTAGAAGAGGGCAAGGGAGGGAGTGAAAGGAAAGAAAAGGGATGGAGAGCCCAAGTGCCTATGCCTCTCTAGTTTGGGCTACGGGCCCGTTACAAGGACAGACACACGCATCTCAGTAGGAGGACATTTTTGACAGAAAAACCATTCCCTTTCTGAACTCACTGCTCTTGTGCTCAATGGGAATCTACCTAAATACCTTTAAAAGGCAAACTTGGGAACCAAAACTCATAAGCAGCCTGGACACTAGGAACCAAGGGCTGAATACTAATATTGATTTTTATGACATGCTATAATCTACCTTATTCCTGATTTTTTTCCAACACACAACAGGCGATAATGACCCTCCTCCTCCCTTTTGATAGGTCTTGGTCTCCCAAGAAATCAAGTTGCTGTTCTACCAGTTGTTTGTCTGGTAGCCCTGTGAATCGCTCCTTCCAATTTCACAGCATTCGTAACAATCATTCCCTCCTCAAACCTGATGAAGTGTGTCTTGTACTCAAAACCTTGTCTAGCTTGATCATGACTACGCAACTGGTTCAATAAAATATATTACCCCACAAAATTCTTGCCTGTGGCATAATTTTTGGACCATCATGGCTACAACATCACTCTAACACTCAAACCACATACGTTTGTCAGTCTGAGTGATTGATTTAGAAAGTTAAACAAAATGTATATATGACCTAATCTTCAATGGGAACCATAATTTTGTATTCCCTAACTTCTGTGAAGATTAAATGTCATATATAATAAAGTTGCTGTATTGGACTTCTTTTTATTTCATCATTAAAAACTGGCATGGCACTTTTTATATAGGTATTAATATTATTACACCAATTAGAAAAATATACAATATATTATACAGTAAGACCCATTCTTAGGTATTCCACAATGCTTTGTGAATAGAGGGACTGATCCTGAAGACACAAGTGTCTGAGGCTGCTTGCAGATGTGGGGAAAAACCAAACAAAACGGTGCTTTACTTTAAACTTGGCGTGCTCCCACGCTGAGCCCAGAGCAAGTCCAGAAGAGGCAGTGCATTAGTTGCACCTGGCTTTCTCAACACCTATATAGATCAAGCACTCTAGTGGGGCTTTTTTGGTGTTTTTATCTAATAGCTGATTGAAATAGCTTTAGCTCAAAGTGTTAAAAAGCCCTGCTGAAGCACCCAATCTATATAGACGCTGCAAGGCTGGGTCAAAGTAATACACTGCTGCTTCCAGTAAAGCACATTTTTTTCCCCTCGCATGTGACAGTGCCCTGAGTGACCAGCATGCTTATATTTTTGCAGATTTATTCATTTTTGCAAAGGAATACAATTATGCAGGGATCAAAAAAATGTAGGGATCACCACTGAAATGCAACATCTTTAAGGTGAAAGTTCACAGCACAAGTACTGAAAGTACTGTATAATAATGCAGGGTCAAGCACATACAAGAAAATGTTTGCTAATCAAAATACTGGAAAAATTTCTAGCAGGCCAGATATTACCAATATTGGAATTTGCACCTGAATAGCTACATTGTTCCTGTGTTAATATGTCATAATTTAACTAAAGATACTGCAGTTATATTTATTCTTATGTAAAGTACCAGGCAAACTTGCAAATCAGGTTTCATGCTAAAGAAAGCATCTAGGCATTTTCTTCTGATGCCCAGATACAATTAACCTTTTTAGAACAGAGGAGAACAAAAAAGAGATGCTGTTTTGTCCTCCCAGAGGTAAATATCAAAACGTTTATCAATGTTTGATGCATGGCACTGATTATGAAATATGCACCTGAATAGCTACACTGTTCACATATTAAGTATGCCATAACTTACTCATTTATACTGCAAATATTTCAAAAGAATTTTCCATTGGAGGAGAGATGGGCCAGCTGAGATAGCAAGCGTTTTCCATTTCTAAATGCTAAACGTGTCTATAAACGTGCTCTGGAGTGGAGGGGGCACTTTAATTAAAGAGAGGTGATCTGAGAGCTGCTTTAATTAAAACGCCTGCAGTGTCATGTGTATTCAGCGTCCCATACTTCAGAATGCCAGTGGGGGCACAATGAATGAGCTTTAGTTAAAGTGCCCCTGCCACCATTTTGAATGTGGGGACACTGAATACAAGTGACGCAGAGGGTGCTGGAGCGCACTAATTAGCACGCTCTAGCAGACTCACTGCAGACTCAATTAATCAAGTCTGCTCTGACATGTGCTAATTAGTACGTGTCAGAGCAGAGGTCTATCATGTGTATAGGTGTCCTAAAAGACCAAGCCTTCAAACTTTTACTTACAAATATTCATGAAAG